TAAAAAACTATCAAATATGCAAATTATTATTGTTTATGTACACTCTAGTTTTTAACATGATTTTCGTTTATAAATTTAATATTTATTTTCATGCTAACATTTTTTTCGAACACATACTTTTTAGGATATTATATGAATTACATACATCGTATATATTATTGATTTAATTTAAAAAATATTAACAGAAAATGTGATTTAAGTTAGCAATGTACCTAAGAACTCTGTGGACAACCTAGTAAAAATATGAAAATACTAAATGCATACATTTCTGGGACCTATTCAATAAAATAAATATCTTAAAAAACTTAATTAAATAATTTAAAAAAAAAATTACTAACATATATTTTAGTTATAAGTAAGTTCTATGGTCTAATCTCCCACTTCCAAAAAAATATTGACCTTCTCTTAAAAAAAATAATTGTTTTATTTGCTAAAATATGCATCTTAATAAAAACAATGAGTATGTTTGGCACCAGTTCAACTGTTCACCAATTTAAGTGCTAATGACACTAGTGCATATTATTTGGCTATACATTATTTTCAAATGTTTAATAAATACAATAAATAAAAACTATGGTTTTCAGCCCAATTAGGCTCTTTTTTCTTAATCTCCCCTAACATATGACCACAGGTCAGTCAACCTTTACAAATCAATAACTGTTAAATATCTAAGTATTATGTATTCATTTTATTACATTATAATAAAGAAAACAAAGCACAGTTTATGGAGAAAAAAATAAAGTTTGAGATAGTTGAAAGAGCAATAGGTAATTTAAAATTAATATATTTAAAAATGATGAATCAAAATCTTTTGAATAATAACATAAAATAAATTTTTTTTTAATAATGATATCTACCTCATTATCTGCTTCCCAATCTGAATCAAGTGCTTCGATAACGCTTTGGTAAACAAATCGTAGTTGTTCTGGAGCTTGAACAAGTCCTAACCGACATTTTCTCATTTCTGCTAATAATGTACGTATATGAACATAGTCTAAGCCTTCTGGTGTATTCATCTATATTAAATATATAATTTTTTTTATGGTCTAAATTAAAATTTAATCATCTAGTTTATTCACTTTTATAAGGCAGGCATCTATTAAACAAAATGTTCCTGAACGTCCTATTCCTGCAGAACAATGAACGACAATCGGTCCGTGAGATGGATCAAGACTACCACTACGTCTAACATCTCTGAGAAAACGTAAAAAAGGCGTAGGAGTTTTAGGTACTCCGAAATCGGGCCAATCAGTATAATGGAAATGATAAATCTCACGAGATTCTCCTGAATCTAAGTCATTAAGCCTGAGGAAAAAATCAATGTAATATTTTTAAACAAACATAATTGGTTGATTCATACTTTAAAACACTTAATGCATAAAATCCATGATTGATTTTAGAGACAAATTCTACAGATAGACCAACATCATTCCATACAAATTTATCATTATCCTTTTTTTTCTTTGGCCAATATTGATGACATTTAAGCTTAAGGAAAAAAAAATGTTCATCAGTACAATTTAATAATTAGTTGGAATATAGTTTAAATATTTTACTTTTTTCTTTTCGATAACTTTGTTTAACATTACAATGGCTTTGGTATTTTGTTCCCATACCATGAGCCAAAAATGGGAAGTGCTGTTTTCTAAAGGTCCTTGAGTCAGGATATACTGCCTTTCACAATTACATACCTATATAAACAAAATATAAAAACATATCTTTGTATATAAAGATGATTCACCAACATCAGAAATGGGCATTCTTAAATCAAATAGGAATTGAAGATGGAAGATGAGATTAATTACTATATGATGTACAGTTGGAAAATTTAAATTAATGCACAATCTGGATTGTGGGAATGACATATCATGAAGCATAGATAACTGTCTAAGTAGAAGTCGCATTTGACATCAAATATCAATTGTATCAACAAAATTACGATGGAGGCCATACAGTGGATAAAGACTTTAAATATAAATAATTTAATTTGACTACATAGCAATATAATAATATTATTATATTGTTATCAACTTATTAACTGAGAATGTATATTAATTCATGGTTTTTAAATATTAGGTATAAAAAAAAATGTTTGCAATATAACTTTAAACGATTAAACAAAAAAATATTGCGCAGAAGTTTTCGATATTTTTTTAAGGGGTCAAATTAACAATTTATGAGGAACCATATGTTAATTTTTTAAGCATTTATTCTTAAAAAAAATGTTGAACATTTCATTTTGTACAGAAAATGATAATATAAACATTTTGGTGAAAATTGCAAGTATCTAAAGTTATTTGTTTTAAGGTAAACCAAAAATAAAAACAATATTAATTTTCTCAAAAACAAGTTTTGCGTAAAAATGCCTGTTTTTCTGATTGGAAATCCCCCCCAAAGTACCATCTAGATCAAATTTGCTACCAAAAACCACCCACAAAGTTAAATTTTTATAATGCTTCAAAAGTAGATGACAAATCCAAATAAATCTGAATCATTGTAAAATCAATACATTCATAGTTCTGCTTGAATCTAAAACAAGTTAATGTTACGACTGAAAAATTATTAACAATTTTAGTATTTGAAAATGTGCTATTTAAGTATACTAATTAAGTAATACATTCTAGAATTTGAATAAATGCTTTGTTAATAGATTAAAGAGCTATCAAGATAATTGAATGCGCTTGGTGGATTTGCTTCTATAGTTATTTTCAATAGGTACAAATATTCTGTCTGTAAAGGAGTTAACTTGGAGATTAGTCTCATCTTGTTGAACAAAGTATAAAATGTAAAGAACTAAATACCTACAGTGAAATTATTTCCAGATAATAATTATTACTTAAGTTAAAATTATTTTACATAAGTCTTATTCTTACTTGTACAAGATTGGCATTTATGTAAGATACATTTCCTCTTTTTAGGATAATTCTAGTTTCATCATAAGGAGAGACATCTTGATATCTATTTAGAGCCTTGTTCTGTGGTTTCTTTGCTTCATCAGATGTTTTTTTAATTTTTGAACTTTCTACTTCAACAAACTGAAAAATTGGTAAATAAAATAATTCTTTAGTTATTACATCTAATGTGAAAGTGATACTTCAAAAGATCTATTAAATGTTAATTATCTATTTTAATCTAGGTATTCAATAAAAATTTAAGAATTTATTTTTTTACTTTGCAAAACTTACTATAATACTATCTAATAAAATTATAAATAATTAAAAATAATATGAGCTCTATATTTCTCACTTGTTAGCTTTATTCTTGAATATGGTGAATAGCACCTATACCAGCAGAACAACTTTATATAAAGTGCGTTCAAAACTTTTTTTATCCTATATTGCCTTTGTTCTTAATAATTAGGCTTGCCGTTCGCCCATGCATTTGTTGTCTCTGTCTTACACACGTACAACATACAACATTTTCGTTTACCAGTTTTAATAATGTGCTGTTAGTTCTGACATTAGAGTGAATTGATCTATTATCAACGTTTTACTTAAGAACATTATCTATGCTTAAGCGTCTGCGGATTTTTGAATAGTTTAGTTTCCAATTGAGATATGAGCATTATTGATTTGAGTTATTTCACATATTTGTATCTTGCTTGAAAATGAAAATTTCAAAAATCTGCCAACGTTTCAGCATGAATAATGTTCTTACCTAAAAGTTTGATAATACTTACATTCGCTCAAATATCAAAACTAACGGCACACTATTCAAACTAATGAACGAAAATTTGCTATGTCGTAAGTTGGTAAAACGGAGACAAAAAACTCGTGGGTAGCATCCTCTTAAATGTGCACACATTTTTTTATTTTGAAAGTTGTACTGATACGTCAAATCCTCAAAATATTATCTATTGTAATCTTTGCTGATGAAGATGATTCAAAAACATAAAAAATTTGTTTTGCATGAATGTGTTTTGTCTATGTTGTGTGGGTCCAAGAGAGAAGAAAATTAATATTGAGTGATATTCTCTCAACTTCTATTGTCATTTTAAATAGTATTTTTTTGAAAAAATAATAAATAAATACCTATCTGTCTATAGGCATTGAGTATTACCAAACTGTAATGTTATTAAAAGCATTTGTACATAATGGTCTTTAATTTAGTTTACAATGTATCATTAGCATTTTTATGTTTATTTTGTATAGTAAGTACAAACCCACAAACTATGGGTAAGTATATTAACTGAATTTTTCAGATATTAAACAATTCAATTCATAATTTATAAAATTAAAGAAGTAGAGTACAAAGCAAACACATTGACATTATATTTTCTACAGTATAAACCTATTAGATCTACAACCATTAAATTTACTTACTCTGAACGTTATGTTCCACATACTCTTTGATTCAATGTCGTTAAATTCATCTCGTAATCTTTTTTTTACTTGTTGATCGGTGTGCATGTTGATAAATCTTTAAATAAAATGCAAAATTTTTGATTTCTGAAATTTTGTAGTTTCAAGCAAACATTAAGTATGTACCTGTTTGGTAATCACGGTGGAACCTACACAAAATTAATAATACTTAAACACAAACTATACAAATTTATATAACAAATAAAAATATATATTATTCAAATATAATATTATAAAAAATCGTACACAAATTTACTAAATAGTAATTTGCAGTTCATAGCTAAAACTGCAATCAATATAATATAGTTATAGTTGGGTATTCATTTTTTATCACGACATTCTGCAATAAATTACATTTATGTTGTTATCATCAGTGTGAACCACCACGTAGGACAAAATAACCAACTAAATCAACACGAATTCACTGACGGCTAGTTCTTTTGGACGGTCCTACCCATAGAATAGATTAAATGGTCCGACTCTGATACTCGGTATTCTGTGCTGATATCTACAACCACACTACACCCGTGGTTCGACCACAGAATTCCATCCATACTGTTGCGCATTCGAAAACGGAAAAATAATCATCGCACCGATAAGATATGTCCCTCCGTTATCTGTAAGTTCTACATTATTACATACGGTATCAGCGGTATCTATTTAGTATTTAACGTCGTAATAATAATAGTAATAATATTTCGTGAATTGATGCAAATTTATACAATTGCAAAATCCATTCATTTTCGCAACACCGGATTCGATCCTCTGTTACTTGTTAGACTTCGGTGCTCTGTTCGAGTAAGTGTGATCGCCGGACTTAATCCAGTTTGACATTGCTCGGCCGTCGGCGTATAACGTACATATATATTGTACACATCGTCAATGACCCAATAATTAATACACAATAGTGTCCTAGAGACATCTATACACGTTTCTCTCCCGTGTCCTCGAAATTACAATAATTGCCATTTTATTCTCTAAACAATTATTTTGATTTCGCAACGATTTTTTAAGGTTTTTTACCACTGCGACATTGGTGTTTCACTCTTACTGTAACATTTAGTAATTTATTGTTAACACTGATTTTTAGAATTACTTGAGTGCGTGTGTCGCGTTGTATGGCTCGTAAAAATAAAGAAAATAAAAATATGGCTCTATCAGCCATGTTACGAGATGAAGGCGATAGCAGTGATGACGACTACCGACGCAAACGAGACAAGAACAATCAGGTATTTTTAAACTCTTGTATCATATTTGTCTGTGCCTTTACCTATTGATGTATATTTTTAATTTGTCAGGCGGTTAAAAGAAGTCGAGTTAAAAGTAGAATGCGCACACAACAGACATTGCAACGTGTGAACCAATTAAAAACTGAGAATGATATGCTTGAAGAAAAAATTAAACTTTTAAGTAAAGAACTAGGATTTTTAAAAGAACTATTCATGGCACAAGCTGGTAATATTTATTAAAAATTATATATAACTTAAATTGATTTTCGTTTCATTATTTTTTAGGAACATCACAAATTGAACTCCCCAAATCTGTTGACCTTAAAACATTATTGAGCGACACTACTTCAGACATATTGGATAATGATTTAACAAAACCTCAATCTTCATCATAATTCTTAAGTATAATATAATTTGTTTTATTTTAAGACCCGTCCAGATCAAAGAAAATTTTGTTATTGACAATGTTTCTAATATTCTATCATAAGCGGTAACATAAATATTTATCAACAACAATATCAGAAACAAATGTTGTTCTGGACTGGACTTTATGGGCACACCATATTTTATAAGTAAAAATAATGTTATAAGTCATATTGATTTAATAATTTTTTTAATATTTTTTTCCCATACCCAAGAAAATATTTATTTGTTAATATTGATAAGGTTATGGATTTTAAACAGCCTAAATATTTTTGTCCAATTGTGTGTATGTGTGCAATATTTATATTTATTTTTTCAAAAAACTGTACAATTTGAAAAAAAAAATGTTAATGAATGTTTAATATGTGTAATTTTTATGAGTTTTTATTTCAACATAAGGTAGCCAGCGATGACAAACGACAGCTATAAGTTCATGCAACATTATAAAGTGAGTTGTTGTTATGTTGATTAGTAATTCCTTATTGTTCTTATATTGTCTTTGTATGTGAACTTAGTTCCTGGTTCATAAACATATTTTGACAGTATCTCAAACAATTAGCTTAGTTTAACTTTTGTAATAACAACTTAATTGTTTTAATAAAAGATTGGCTCAACAACTTATGTCACTATCATTAACCAATAATAATCATTATGATGCAAGACTCAATACTAAAATATCTATATATAAAGTTAAATATTTTTTTATCGCACTGCTGTGCATTTGATTCTTCAGTCTATCCAGTGCTCGAGTGAAAATATATTTTTTTAATGCTTGTGTCATAGGTCAACTTTTATCAATCGGCTCATAATAATATACATTTTATTTATTAAATAGAAAGAGATAGTAACCTTATAGCCTATTGGAGTGAAGCAACATTTTTCCTAAAAGTAATGAACTAATAGTTATGTTTAATTGATTAATTGCAAGTATTGCAACATAAATATTTATTGTTGAACTATAGCATGAACTACAAATACCATAGAAGAAATATCAACACTTACAATAATATAATATTTGTAAAAATATTCTTTTTTATGCAGTTAAGAGGACGGTGAACTGATATCAGTTATTTATTTGTATATTATATTGAGAGTAAAAAATAGGTTCCATATTAAAACATTTGATGTGTAAATATGTTGATTATTGACCTATTATGAAATTTAAAGTGGAGTATACTAACTAGTTGATTAAATTAAAGTTTAAAATTACATAGTAATCAATTAATAATAACTTCAAGTGTAAATGACAGAAGACATTTATAATGTATGATTATTAATTAGTATACAATAACAATTATTGGTCAATAATTGAATGTGAACATAGGACTCAATAGTTTGAGTAAATTATGAATTGTTTTGTTTATTTATGACATATTTTTAATTTTTGTTAAGAGAATATTACAGATGTGTAATTACACCTTAATACTTAAATTACTAAAATTGTATCTGTCTCGTGATGGCATTGATATGACCTTATAAAAAGATACATAATATAAAGTATGATTTCTTCATACATAAAGGCATTATTGGAATTTGAAGAAGAGGGGATTTATGTAAACACTTTTTTACTACTAACAGTTATTTTAAATAATGAGCCACTGAGAGATATTATAATATACTATTTATATATTACGCATTGCATTTAAATTAAATATAATATTAAGTTTTCTAAATATGCGTCTGGTGAAAATTTATATTTTGCATAAATCACACACCCATATTTAAAAAATAAAACAAAATATGAATATAATATAGAGTATTTATTTAGAGTTAAAGAAAATTATATCAATTTTTTAAAACTTTTGTGCATCAATATATAAGTGTCATGCATTCTGTGGTTTAGTTACTTTAACAGTGTTACATAGCCACACAGGTACTTAATGGTTACAGGTGGAGAAGTATTCAAAATATAGTACATTTTAAACTTACTAATCTCAGATATTGTATTTATATTTTATGTCTTTTTTTTATTTTACATTCTAGAACAGGGGCGGCCAAACGGTCAATCGTGGATAATTTCAAAGTCAATCATGTTAGAATTTATTTTTAGGGACACACGAAAAAAAATTAATTGAGGTTGTAGTGAACAAATTGTCTATAAGTTATATCTGTACAATTAAAAAATTTTTCTATGAAAGAGGATCCTCAAAGGTTAAGTATATTTTTAGTAGATTGTGACCCAAAAAAGTTTGACCACCCCTGTTCTATAATTTATCTGTGTACAATGATAAAATTTTGTTTGAAAAATGTGAAAAGGGGATGCTTTAGTACGTACAAAATATGACTAATAAAATCAATGATTTCGCAAAAGAAAAAAAACATTTTGATTTGCTACTACTGTTAATCCTCAGGCATATTTCATAGGAAAGGACTAGTATATTTGTTTTGTTTTTTGTTTGGAAAACATGCAACTTCCAGTAAAACAGCAGCGTCTATAGATTTGCATGCATTTAAAGAAATGTGATATATTATATCATGGAAGTATCATTTGTGCTTAATTTAATGAGAAATGTAATGGACAAGGTACCACCTACCTAATCTAGATGCTTTAAACTTATTTAATCATTTTAAAGAATTTCTTTAAATTGGATTTTATTGAAAGGTTTGTCAATTTTCTAATATAAATAAAACATATTAAATAATAAATCTTATTTGTGAATTACTTTATTCTAACGACTAACATACTTGTATGATTAATAAAATTTAATAATTTAAAAAAATATCTCATGACTATAAATAGCATGACCCTCCAGTGAACTGTTTTTTTGATAGAAGTAGAGAAACTTTTTGAAAATCGTATATCCCAATTTTTCGTGTTAACTATGAAAGCAAAAAACGTATGCATTTCTAACTGAATAATAATTTTGCAAATTTTCGGGATTTTGACGAATTTTATAAAAGGTTGAACTTTTAAATGTAAATAAAAAATAATGGTGACTATGTATCTTTAATATTTTTTATCAGCTATTAAAGCATCTTATTAGGGCCTTTGTGTTAAATTTTCAAGCTTTTTACTATGTACAAAAAATTTTATCAGCAATAATTTAAAGAAGTTTTTTAAAGCTATAAATTAGCTAAAAAAAAATCAAAACATTTTGGGAATGTAACCATACACGGTTAACTAGGAAAATGCGTATATAAATATTTGGTGAAAATTTCTAATTATCTACGGTTAGTTGGTTTTTAGTTATTGAGTTACGTACTCCAAAAAAAAAAATCAAAATCGATAATCCGATCGATTGAATTATACCATACTAAATACTATCTAATACTTTTCTCTACTAACTAGTAACTATACGTCTACACCTATACAAATCTAAAATAAAATTCTTATTTCAAAACGTAGTGCTAAAATGTTTTTATTCCCCCTCTTAATTAACGCCTTTGCAACCAATACTCAATAGATAGTTGAATAGTATAGTCGTAATGAGGTATAATAATATATTCTACATAGTCGTTAGTTTCGCTCCAAAACCTACAACCACATAGCGATGACTAATATACCAGGAATTTAAAAAAATATAAAACCGTACTACAATAATGATGTATTAAACATAGAATAGCCAATAAGTATATATTATGTAGCATAATATTATACATATACTATATTATATAAACGCATAGGTAATTATTTTAATCATATTAATTGTAGCCGTAGACGCGCATGTCGCGTGGGGTGTGCAAGTGCAAGTTGCTGCAAGAAATATAATGTATTTTTGGCATGTTTTTATACTAATGTAATTATATTCAGGTTGATTCACCAAGCTTACTCTCAGTCATTTTAAATTCTATCAAAGTAATTTTGAAATTTGGATCTTTTATCATGAATTACATCTTCAGGATTAACTCTGATGTCCCCAAGAAAAGCCAACATACCTACTTATTTGCTGGCGTGTGGTAGCGATAACAACCAACATGACGTACTTTCGGAATGTGAAATATTACAATACGGTCCGAATTGTTGGCCACGCATTATAATACCTTTTACAATGTAATATAATCTATACAAGAAAATAACATAGTAACGTACTATCAATTATTGGTATACTAAAATAATTGTATTTTACTTATTAAGTAAAAAAATCGAAATTCAACTTTCTTGACTTTTAATCAAAGAAGTATTAGGTAAGTACCTAATCGGAATGCAAAATCTGAATTTTGAGTTTGTAGTAAATGGAAAATCATAAAAATGTAACTCTGTAGTCAGCACTCGGCAATATTATATGGGTAAAATGATTTTAATCCAGAAAAAATATATTATGTAGATAAAAATTATACTAATTACATGGAATGCCGAAAATTGGTGTAACATATAACTATATAAGAGGGCTAAAATGTAAAAAATACTAGGTGCCAGGTGGATTCCATAAGAATACTAAAGTTTACTAAAGGCTACTAAAGTATTAAAAAAGCCAAAAGGGTTGTAATCTTAGACACTACACGACTACACAGACCAATACATTTTTTGTATGCTTGAAAACCAAAATGCGTCTTGGTCCAAAACATTTTTCCATTTCAGCACTGTCTTAAGTACAATTTGGTTAGGTTAGGTTAATTTGGTTTAATCTTAAATTCTATTGAAAATTGAAATAAAATGTATACACACATACATTATTATACATTATGATAATTCTTTAAAAGTTAAAAATTAAGAAAGAGTAGGTTACCTGACTTAGCATGCACTTTTTATTTTTTTTGAGAATATTTTAAGTTTGAATTGTTATTACTTATTACGGTGTATGCTTTGAATGCTTTGATCAAAATGTTAACAAGAAAGAAAAGTTTAGGGTGTGGATATTAGCATATAATATCGTCTCATCAATCCCTCAATCACACCACTGTTTCAGACAATGAATGTTGTTAAGATTATGCAAATGCAAAGATTGAAATTTAATGGATCCCAATATGTGATTTTGTTATATTCTTACTCTATGGTAGGAGTGAGCAGTGAGCAGGGATCACAATCACGTGAGCTTAGTGAATAGTGGGTCGTTTTTCAACTATTTAATGAAGTTCACATTAATAGTGGGTCATCAAATATTATTAATAGAGATTATCAGGGTTTATTATGATAATATGATAATATTTTTCGACATCAGGATAATGATGATTACTGATTATAGGTTACATTTAAATAGACTAAAAAATAATTAAACAACATTTTTTTTTTTTAATATTTAGGTTATTCAATCTTACATCTCATTTTATTGCTTATAAAATATTTAATTACATTACTTTTTCTACATTTGAGCTAAATATTACTAGAGCCTAAGAATAATTTAATGTGAAATAATATAGTATTTTCATTGATTATAGAATGGATTTATTCTATAATAAATCATATTATTTTTTTCGCAAGCCTCTTTTTTTT